GAGGGGGTGGGGGCAGAAAGTGAAAATGAAAGCAGACAACAGAACATTGTTAGAGAGCAGGAAAGGAGGTGAAAGGAGACAATTTTATGGAAGAAAATTTTTCGGTCGCTACCCGAATTCGAACCCGGGACCTTTGAATGAGAGGCTAACACCTTAACCTCTAGGCCACGAGAGCCCCTGAGAATGTTTCTGAATGTTCTAAGGTCTGCAGAGGTAGAAACACAACCTCAGAGTTACAAAGTTCTATCTGATATTCTTGGCCGTTTTGAGTTACGTAGACCATGGCTTCAGAAAACAAATTATGTTCTACCTGCTTTACTAAAATTATAAGATTATGGAGAATCCTTATCAAGGAATTAAAAGAATTGTATTTTTTTTAAAAGCTTGACATGTTGTGAAACTAAAAATTTTTAACCCTATCCGTACGTCCTGGGGTCATTTTGTACCCCGGGGTTGTATTCTTCACATTATAAAATACTTCTAGTACGAAGATCTCTTTGAAACTTTCAGTATTTCTTTTTTAAAAATCATTTCTATAGACTGCTATTCAAAGTGTACGGATCAGATTAACGAGTAAATTTTTTCTTTGGAAAGTGATGGCACAGAGTTCCCCAGGTCGTATGGATACGACAGTAAAACATGGCGTACGGATAGGGTTAACGTCAAATGTATCAAACTAGGTACTGAGAAGATAGAACGTTGTCATTCTTTTTTAAATATAGTAGGGGGTTTTACGGCGCTCGCAACTGCACAAGGTCATATGAGCGCCAAGGGGTGGGTGTCAACAGAGAAGTCTTTACAGGGAATCAGACTTAGACTGCTCACCTCCCTAGCTTCTACAGCACAAAGTCTGCTTCAACTATCAAGGCATCCCGGAAATAGCAGGTCAAACATACAAAAGAAGTAGAGGAAAATGACAATAGTAAGGACCAGGAAAGAAAAAGCAGCAGTTTCCTGTTGTAGATCAGGCACAGTTATGAGCGTGACATGAGTCAGCCCGTTTACAATTCTACTATGCTTGAACGAGAAATGCCCCCCCC